CTAAAAAATTTTAAGATGTTGAAACTATAAAACAGCAATATGGCTTCTTCGCGAAGTCTGTATTTACATTTCTGTGTTGCAAAGGTATTAAATTAGAAAACGAAGTTAAATATGTAAAACATTGCATACAGACAAACGAGTAAAACAAATTTTGTGTGAAACGTTTGCTTACGAATATGGCGATGGTGCGAAAATGTGAGTTTTGATCCATATGACAACATTAATGTTGTCGGAATCCTTACTCGAAATTATGTAAAGAAGTGAATTGCTAGTTAATATAATTTGAAATTTTTGGCTAGTTTCACCATATTGAAACAGTTTAAGGAACATATGTGATATATGTTCTTTTTTATTTAGGCTAGTATATAATCTGTGTTTTAATGGATCCCACAACTTCAGTGTTTTGAATGCATGGTTAGGATACGAAGTCCAATGCAAAAGGGTGACATTTGTTGAATAATAGATTTTACATCGGTTATTTGTTAGAACAAACGAGACTTCATCGTGTGTTGATTTTGGCAACCGAATTCAAAACAAAGTTTAGTCATGCATGTGAAATTATCTGTTTAATGATACGTGGCAAGAGGGACACGCTTTTCATTTCTTACTGTCATACAACATGTTTTTGCTAGTAAAATGTTTGTTTCGGTTTGCCCTTCTTTCTGTGTCGTTTGTTACACAATTTCTGTGGCGCCTGAGGTTAATCGGTTGGAAAAGTGGCATTTAGAAGCGAAGGTCCATGAGAATGGACCTTAAATTTTGCCTGTCAACTATCAATCGAGCCGTAAAGAACTGTTCAGAGCCACGGCTGAGAGAGTGGGACAAGCGATTGAAGGGCAGGTCGTGGCAATTGTCACCTGGAAAATGTCAAGGCCGCTTTGATGATGCGTCTAAGGGAATGGAAAAGCGGGCATTGACACATTTTATAATCAAACAATCCCTCGTGGTGCAAAGAAAACACAACACTTCACCATTACGAAGATCAGTTTGTTAACGTTGTTAAAGGAAATAGTCTCTGTTTACCCTGAGAACTATACGAGACATCAAAAGGACCGACTTATACGTTATCAAGAAGGTGGAACAGATATTTACCACTAGGCTCTAAAGGGGCAATAGGGGATCAGAAAATTGACCCTCGCCGTCGAGTGTTTAGAACTTCTGCTTTGTATTCGGGAGGTACCGGGTCTTATATTTATGTGACAACGTGTTATAAACACATCTGTTGGCCCACTAGTAGTATTAAAACCCAATTTTTCGGGATAGTGGGCTTCATTTCTGCAGTCTCCTCTTCGAATGAAAATACGTCGGTCTAGGCTTCGTTCTACTATTGTGTTTAGTTTCCGACCTACGAGAAACACCCTCAGCAACTTTGGTCATTTTCCGGAGTTTTGACCCTCACGTGATCTCTTCTTGCTCTCAAGAAATAAGCATGCCAAGTTTGGTGGAAGTCGGTATATGCTTCCTTGAGCTATAAGCAAACAGACACATAAACCCATAATTTCAACTTCATATCTAAAGTTGTGTAGGCGAGCTTCGGCTTTGAAGGGTTAATGGAAACTGGACATAGCCCATGTGATCGCACTAATCGAAATTTTGTTTGAATCGATAGTATAGGAATATCGAAGACGTCCGGCGCTTTATTATTTTCTTTCATGTAGGATCTAAATCCCATTGTTTCGCCTAGAGTAGACTGCTCCCACTCTCCTTCGACTCTGGGAGATAGTAACAAGTTTATTGATCTCCACCTGAAGAGAGGGGTCTCTTGAACCGTTTTTCTACTGAGAGCGGGGGCGGATATCACCCAAAGAACTCAGTGACGGACCACACTGAAAACTCCACTCGTTGCCATGGCTAAGTAATAACAAACACGAAATAATATAAATGTGTTTTTTATTTAAATCATGTGTTTGGATTCTATTCATGTTTATTAAATTCTTCTGAAAGTTTAATGGTGGGTAAAAATGTCATAGTACGTTGTTCAGGGTGATGAGGGAGGTAGTAAGCACTTCTGAAACGTCGGTAGACTTCTACCAGACTACACGGCGCGACATCCCATACTTGCGCGGGCAGACATTGAGTTTCCTGCTCTCTGTTTCATATTAGTTATAAATTTTTATCCTTTAAGTTTTATAATAATGTATTTATATCTGGAGGAAATATGTCTTTATGTGACGAGGCAAGAAAAACCGCAAAGAACGCAATGGGAAAAAAAGCGAATTAGAAATGGCTGATACCTTTCCAGTTTTTGCTGTCACAATGTTAAAGACACCGTACGTCAATAAGAGCGTCTTTCCGTGAAATAGATCTCTTATGTCCTATAATATCCTTGCTTAGACCAGCTACATAGAAACGTGAGACAATAAAAGACTAGTAAACCCATATAAGACGTAAGTTAAGAGAAGAATTATAAGAAAGTTCCTGTGATATGGTGTCATACGGTTCAGTAGAATCCATTAGGCCCTGCCGAGAGACAGGTCAAGCTACTTAAGTCAACATAATCATCTCCCAACTTAATGTTGTGAACTCGAAGTACCAGCTATTGATGCGGAACGTCCACAGAGCGAGCGAATCTACCAGTAACCACTTACAAGTATTAATCTTATTGGAAAACGGTTACATTGACTCAGCACTGAAGCCAAGCACTAAATACACTTCAATCCAAACGATTACACGTTTTATAGCAGCAGATTACTCGTGGAACTAATGGATGTGTCGATGTTGGTCTTCTAGTTTTTAACGCCGGCTGAACTTGTAGATAGATGCCAACGTTTCGAAGGAACATACTGCCTCCATCTTAACGAATGTAGCGTCCAGATGGTGAGACTGCTGAACACCACGAAAAGTGTCGGTTCGAACGGTCGTAACCCGTCTAGATTCGAACGGCATATCTCTCGAATACAGGTCTAGACCTTTACCACTGCACTATTTCTTATCGAATTTATGTGTGTCCTATAGGGGAACTATCGCGGTGTGATTCTCGATATGGAAGGGATTTCTTCTTTTCGCCACCAGGTTCAGATTGTTTAATGTATAGATTTTTATCTCCATTTTCCGTTACATCTTTATGGCATGGTACTTATGCAAAGGTTCGTCTGCTTGTGTTACTTTGTATTCTTAGTGGATTGATATTTAATGATCTTAATTTGATATATGAAGTCACTATTTTATTGAAGTAAATTCTTTATAAACAAATATGTATTATTAGCTTTCAACGCGAAAAATTCAAAATGTACTGTGTTGACGGATGTTGGCAGAACATGTAGATCCAGCAAAACAGAACAATGTTGTAGATTTAAAACCGGCTTTCGGTAATCGCATTGAATTTAAATATGCGACTATAATTCCTCCCTGTAGAGGTATATAATTCTTGTTCTTGGGTTTTTGCGGTTGCCGTTCAGTTTAAAACTTCGGCTTTCAGGGATGAGCTACTTATCCCTGAAAGCTGAAGTTTTACGTTGAGCTCTGGCCTTTAAAAGTTATGGGCAAGGATGTTTCGTACAACGCACTGGGAAAGAGCAAAGAAACTGCTTCTACTAAGTTAATAAAGAAAGACTTCTTTGAAGCAGGGATATTACAGTTTAAAGACATCTGAATCACTTGGAGTATAAGTATGACCAGATTTCTAATTTTTAATTTTGCTAATTTTTGTGTATACTCATACACGGCTTTCATGAAAAAGAAGAGCCCTGTGCATCGCCCACGCCGACTGTCAAGGGGGGTGGGGGGAGCCTAGTATAGATCGGTGATCCAACCGTCTGACCCACAGTTGGAGCCGGCAGCCCGGGACGAGCACTGTAAGCAGCAGGCCTACCAACATTGCACAAAGTAAGTACCACACAACACGTATTTGGTGCTTGGAACAAAGATCCATTTCAGGATCGTGCTGGCACTTTCGAAGGTAAATTCGATATTTATCTCCGGGTTAAATGGTTTGATTACAGATCAGTAAGGCGGTATCGTCGAGGGTCTTGTAGCCTCTGGTTTGACTCCTTGGTTGTCTAATTTTTTCTGCCCTGATCTCGTTCATTCACACTTACAGCACGTCCGTATTTGGCAGCGTGTCAGAAAACTGAACGTCCCGTTTCAAGAACGTGTTTTTATTTTGTGATTAGGCCCACCGTCTTTGATGGTTCTGTCTTATGAAAGCGTCCGTCACAACACACTATGAAACTGGGTGGACGATTCTGTGACAAACGTTTATGTCTCTCTTTGACGCGTAATAAGTTAGTTTGCATATGACATATTTTTAGCCGAATGAGACAGAAACGCTACTTTTATGCCTATTCATGCACTCTACATCGATATTTCTTAAGCCAAAAAGGGGCTAAATGAATAGAATATTTAAAATTTAAAGGTTTTTTTCCCCCTGTGTTGAGGCCGATAATGTTGTGTTTCTGGATTTCGGTGCATTGCAGACTCGCCGGTGGATCCCGGCGGTTCAGAAAAAAAGTCTTCTCTTAATCTCTCATTAGTTGTAGATTTCTCCATTTCACGTCTTCTATAAAAGTATATAGTACTAAGGACAAGTAGTCTTTTCTGCTGTAAGTCCTTACCCAGAAGAGAAACGGTTGCACCTTTGCCGTCCTGCATGTAATTAATGCTGACTGGACAGGTTAACGAGGTCTGTTTAACAGAGCAGCAGAAGCAATAATCCACTGGCTTTGAGAGCCCAGGCAAAGGAAGTAACCACTCGGAACAGAAGTGGTATAATTCACAATTTTATTTGGATTGTAAGAGTCCCGGCTTGCAGGCTACAGCGTATTTAATATTTAATCAGGACAGTAATTTATGTGTTACGCATTTATTCAATAACAACTCGAGTCCGCCGCGTTTTTCAACTCACAGTTTTTTAGGCATGATGAAATTCACGTTTTAGGCTCATTTACTCTTTTATCAGGGCGATAAGCCCTGATAATGGAGGCAGCAAGAACCTATGAGGCTTCAGTGAAGTTTACGAGACTACAAGGCACATCATCACAGTACCTTTATTGCTGTTGCAGCAATGCGGTCCTTCTTGAGCGGAACTTTGACTGTCCTGGCGTTACTGAACAGCGTTTGCGCCTGGGGTGGGTTGTTCAACAGGTTCAGCCCCGAGATGCTAAGCAACCTAGGATACGGAAGTCACGGTGGCTACCGGGCACAGCCGTTCCTGCAGGTGAGTTATGATCGACCATTTTTAACCATTTACAGTCGTTCATAATTGTAATTTATAACAAGGAAAGAGTAATATATCGTAGAGCGAGATAACGGTGGCCGCCCTGGTACATGACAACTAAAATTAGGCTCTCGGCCAAGGCGCAAATACGTTTTGAAAAAGGCTTGTCTGATGTTATCAACGTGAGTTGGCAGATTTACGTAAGAAGTGTAATTACACAGCTTACCGGTACAATTTATTTCCTTTACGTAAAACAAATCTTTGGAAATGCCTACGGTTTTAGCATTTCCACTCACGAACCCATGTGTTTTTGAGCACAGTAGAGTGACAACTTGAACATGTAGAGCAAAGGCATGAGGCTGTCATGAGGCGGGTAGAGCTTTATACTACACATTAATGACCGAACGTCGTGGTCCTGCTTCGTATTCGTGGAGGTCTCGGGTTCAAGTTTCGGCCCGGAGACCCTCTATCCTGACTGGGGTTTTGCATAGTCTTCCTCAGTCCCTCCAGATAAATTCCGGAATCGTACCTTAAATCAGGCTACTACCGCTTCCTTCCACATCCTTTCCAATTCATTGTTTACTATCATCCTCTCATTGAATGCTGTATAGTCTGAGAGACTGAAAAAGGGTCGTTAAATAAATTATAATAAATAAATAAGATGAACGTTACTGTTGGTCTTCTGGTTTCTGAAATTGTGTGGACTTCTTTGTTCTTCCGAAACGTCGCTTACTAACTGGTTCGTATGAAGTGATTGAAAAGAACTGGGTGCATCATTGGCTGGCTCTGTGCGCTGAATATATTTATGGCCACTTAGCTTGCGGAGATATTTATTTCCTACATTTATGTAGGTCAAAGCTTTATCACCACGTTTTCAACAGCCGTGACTGGACGACACACTGAGTTAATTGAATCCAGTGCACACTCAACTTTCGTTTTCCCTAAGAGATATTTTAGGATCTACTTCTCACTATTATCCTCCCATCTACGCCAGGACGATCGAAGTTGTTCTTTCCCATGTCGTTTTCGGAAGATTGTTGTATGTCCATGAACGCCTTTTCTGTCCCACCCAAACTCATTTCAACTTATTAACAGGGTTAGTTAACGAGTACAATTCTTCATGTTGTGAGGTTTCAGGTTCTCACAGCGGCGAGTATGAAGATGACTGTCTTCTGGCATGTTACACCATGTAGTCTCGTAGAAATTGGCTGACGTTTCAGAGGTGCTAGCTGCCTCCATCATCAGGGTGATGAGTTCGCCCTGTCTTCTGGGATGTTGCATCGTGTAGTTTCGTAGAAATTGACGACGTTGCAGAGATCCTGTCTCAATTAGGGCCTTGTCTTCTGAAATGTTGTGCCGTGTAGTTTCATAGACACTGACCGACGTTTTAGGGTGATTACTGTTTCCGCCATCAGGGAGAACTTGAAACCTTACGGAATAAAATTATGTATTTCCATCAGTTCAGAGGTTTCGGTTTTATGTTCCACTGAGCTTTTTGTATGCAAATAACTGCCACAGTAACATATGCCGTTCCTGCACTTTCAGCGGCTCTTAAAATAGGGAACTTCCTTCAGCTGAATTATTCAGAGACTAGCTAAGTAGTTCATGAATAATAGTCGGTAAATATGGTTACCTGCAACATTATTCGATCAACAGCCTACTAATACTGTAAACATCAGTGGATATTTTCCACCTACTCTCCACCTGCTCTTTGTTGTATCCAAAACGTTAATAATTTCGTGTCCTATTGCTGACTAAATGGAAGGAACTTTAATATGTATATCTTCTGTACAGATTTGTATATTGGTCTTTTGAAATTTTTCTTAAGCATTCGAGATGTAACGCTACGGTCGAGTGGTTGTCACTTCTTTATAGTATTTGTTAGGTCCCGGGTTCTCTTTTAGGCTCTGTGGCCGATTTGCATGACTTAGGTTCTTCGTGATATTTCTCAGTCCTCCCGTTCAAATTCCGGCATGGCACCTTAAGTGAGGTCATGGCTACGTTCTTACTGAAGATTGCTGTCTTCTGGGTTATTGCACCGTGTAGGCTGGTAGATTTACACCAACGTTTCAGAGGTCATACTGCCTCCATCACCAGGGCGATGAGTATGAAGATTTCTGTCTTCTGGGTTGTTGCGCTGTGTAGTCTGGTCGATGTTTACCAACGTTTCAGAGGTCATACTGCCTCCATCACCAGGGCGATGAGTATGAAGATTTCTGTCTTCTGGGTTGTTGCGCTGTGTAGTCTGGTCGATGTTTACCAACGTTTCAGAGGTCATACTGCCTCCATCACCAGGGCGATGAGTATGAAGATTTCTGTCTTCTGGGTTGTTGCGCTGTGTAGTCTGGTCGATGTTTACCAACGTTTCAGAGGTCATACTGCCTCCATCACCAGGGCGATGAGTATGAAGATTTCTGTCTTCTGGGTTGTTGCGCTGTGTAGTCTGGTCGATGTTTACCAACGTTTCAGAGGTCATACTGCCTCCATCACCAGGGCGATGAGTATGAAGATTTCTGTCTTCTGGGTTGTTGCGCTGTGTAGTCTGGTCGATGTTTACCAACGTTTCAGAGGTCATACTGCCTCCGTCATACAGATCATTGTTCGGGTTCTGTGATGCTGAGAAATGAGTATCATTGTGTTGCAAGTCAGACCTTGACAATGAATCATTAATTAATGACAGTTAAGGCGTGAAGGTGTTATTTTGTGGGAAATGTTAAGACTACCTTTGCAGCGAAATGCTTTGTTTCTCTTCGAGAAATAAGCAAAATAGTATCACTGTACCGAACGCCGCGCTGCTGCGACCACTTCTCCGACACGTCTGTGTAGTGGGCAGTCTATACACTTCTCTGCAGGCGATATGCGGAAATTACAGAAATTGTCTCACAGAACTCTTACATTTTGAATCTGATTTATAATACAACTAAAAATAATGATTTTAACTCCTTTGGCCCTCCCTTCACCTTGTTTTTATGTCTCTAATTTTAAAAATTTGACACATCAAATATGTTTTTGTAAAATTGTGGAACCGAGTGAGGGTCAGTAATTTACGTGTTATTTTCTGTGCGCGATCACCCGCATTTTTGCTCCCTTGCATCAGCACCACAAAACTGGACGCATGATTGGGTGTCGTGTGCGTCCGAATGGGTTATATCCGAAATTACAAATGATTTCTATGAACTTCCATACTGGGGTTTTACATTAAAAGTTGTTTGGAGTAATTTTATTTTGACCATTATCGGGCCTGTTTATTCGATACTCCGTCAAATGGGCTTAAGTCAGTAGGAATTATGTTTGACTTAAGCTGTTATTACTAATCAGCACAGATTGCTCGTTGTACCAAAACCCTTTCTATAAAGCAGCGTCGTAGCCTACAATGCATGTCGTTAAGATTACTACTTTTATATTAAGCACGTGTCACATTATTTAGTAAAATGAAAGGATAAAAGCGTTATGGTTTTATGCAGTTCGATGTCTGTAGTTTTGTTCGAATTCTATGAATATACTTAGTTTTTAAGAAAATAATTTGTAATAAATGAACATCAAGGTCAGTGTGGTATTTCAATCGAAAATAATGCATTTGAAAATGTGTGTCTATATGTCCATATTTTACACCTACTGAAAGTTGACTGGAATATGTTTTCAACCCAGATAACACAGCCACCTCCATAAAATGTGTCGCCAGTAAGTAAAGCTGGGACGGACAGTGGGAGCTGAGGGTGAACGTGATATCCCCAGGTTGTTCCGCTCGATGATGCTGGACAGCAGACTGTTCAGACAGACTTCCTGCCTTCGTTATCCCAAATTCCATTACTGCTGTTGAGTAATTACGACTCCCAGTAAATTAGTTCCTGCATCTATGACCAGCCGTTTAAGATACCGCATAATTGTTTTGCAGTAATAACACGTGGTTAATCTTCAAGATACTTCTCATATCGACGTGGTTTCAACGTTTCTTATTAACGAGATTGAAGAAAAATATCATATTTTGGACTGGAATTCTATATAAGTTCTATTACTACGAAGTTTGAAACTTCAGCACAGTCTAGCTCAAATCCTTTACTGCGGTATAGTGGCTGTTTGTCCGCCGGTTAAGAACTACTGACAGAAGTTTGTGGATAGTAGTGGATATAAATTTGTGTCGCTTCCATTAATTAATAAATGAAACGTGACGTTATCTAGTATAAATTTCGTATTCGGTTTGATCGTGAACAGGCGAGGGAGGAAGATGGAAGTTGAAGCTAATATAGCAATAATGTACAGTACCAAGGAGCGTGGTAACAAAAAACTCTTGTCTTACCACACTCCTACGATTATAAATATATAAGGTGGCACACGATGCAGCAAAATGGCGGCGTAATATGAACAGTGGTTCTATAAAAGGTAGGGAATTTCTTGATTACCTAATTGGATGTGAAGTTCTCAAAAATGGTTTTTGCGCCATGCAGTTAGCTTTTGATTAAACAGCAAATAAATATCCAGTTAAGATATAAAATTTAACACGGCGTAAGCAGAGGATTTGAGCCCCAAAACGTAGTGTTACGATGTTCAAAAATGTCTCCGTATGAATTTCTGAAGCCGCCCGGATTCAGGTAACTCATGTTAACTGCGGCCACGTTACTTCCTGTCCTTGTAAGGTCGACTTCCGCCAGACTCTTTTCATTTTCAAATAAAAACGTTGCATGTCAGAGCAGCAACACACGCAAAAAGAAAATATCCTTGCCAAGACAGAAGCTTTTATCATTCCAGAGGACAGATTTTAATTTTGTTTGTGAATAGATACATCCAATTCGTAGTACTATGCTTAATTAAAAATATGCAGGAAGCAGTTCCCTAGCCGAACGCAAGTTCAATTTATTACAGCAATAAATTTATGCCTGAATACAGTTCTTACTACTAACCTTAATGTTTTCAAGTATGAGTAAATTACTTCCGTTGCACGAGTATCTTACGAACTTGTAACGAAGGGTTTATTGACGAAACGCGTTTGATAACAACAGGCT